CTCGAAATCTGGAATTCTGCCTCAGGGCCTGTCTTTACCCTGGGAAAGTTCTCACTTTTCACCAAAGAGGGCAAGTGTGAGGGAAAGTAAAACAAGTAAGCAAAGAAATACAGGAGCACTAAATTTTGCACGAAAAAAAAGCAAGATTTGTGCCTAGCCTCTACCACTTAATCAATTGTATGATTTGGGATGATAGGCACGCATTTTTCAACTTTTAATTTTTTCATCTACGTGCAATAGGAATAAAATATCTACTGCCCAAACTGAATTAATTTTGATGGAAATTCAGTAAGATGGCAAATAGGAAAGTTATTTGATTAAAACATGAAGTTCATTTCAAATAGACTTTGGTCCCAATAATCAAAGCGTGTGTGGAAAAATTAGTATTAATAGTTAAATGTATATAGACTTGGAAATCAGACAGATTCCCACTACTTATTCGCTTTGTGATATTCGGCAATTTTCCTTAGCTTTTCAAAACTAGCTTTCCTCATTAGGGGAACGGTGATAATCACACCTCGTAGGGTTTTGTGATGTTTCTATGAACTAATAAATGATTAGTCTAGAGCCTGGCATTTAGCATACATGCTCAGTAAATGGGAATTTTTATCTTTCCTGAGAAATGCATACTTATTCTGACTTAATAGAAATGATTTTTTTTTTAATACCATTAAAGTCCCCTATATTTTAAATATTACATCAAAGTCAAACCAGAAATCCTTCTGTGTGTTGGAGAGCTGGGGCACCTTTGGGGCACAGAATCCTATAATCAACCCAGCGATGCAGAAAATTATTTCTGTCCTTTGATATCCTTTGTCATACTGCCACAGTCTCAGCCAAGCAGAGGTGATGGCGCACGCTGGACTGTGTGGTCTTATAATCTACCTCATCACCGTGTGTTTGTTCCATTGGCATCTTGTTAGGCGAAGGACAGTTTGCAACACAAGTGCTTGTTTGTTCTGAATGATGAGAGATGAGCTGGCCCTCTCCTTTCCCCAGAGTTTCTTTGACCTTGGACAACACTGTTGCCATGCAACCACATTTTCTTGGTTTAAGCATCAGGAATCAGAGTTGATTGGCTATAAATCTATAAAGCAGGTTTTCCTTGATGGGTGGAAGCCGATTGCTGCCACTCTAAATAATAGCATTAACAAAAACGGAAGCAAATCCAGCGAACCCATTTTAACATGTGTTTAGTTCAATGTCAGGGAATCATTCCTTAAGAGGCTCAGATTCTTCATGCCTGTTCAGCAAAACTGAGAAAAATTATATTTTATTTTAAAGTTTTCTGCAGATAATACAATGTTTCTCATCTAAGAAACAAAGCTTACTAGTTTTAGCAGAAATGCTTACCTGTCATTGTTTTACAATTGGCCTTGCCAATAAAATAAGTCCATTAAAATGTCTAGATTTCAACAGGATCCTAAAAGAAATGTTCAGCTACTTAAAAATTAATTTATGCTCATAAACTTACATGACAAGTAAGTCTGCCTGAATCTTTAAAAAAAAAAAAATAGTTACAGAGGAGGAAAAAAAATTGAACTACCAATCTAAAATGATAAGCATGATTTTTTCAAAAGAAAGCTAGTAAGGAAAAAAGCTTAGGACAACAAATTATCATTTTCATTAGGAGTAAGCCACAGATGCACAAACATACTCATAAACAGACAAATGGACACACTTGCAAGTGTCTAAGAAGTCTATACACATAGACTCTTTCCTTCGCTTTTTTTTTTTTTTTGCTTTCTGAGGAAAATTCTTCCTGATGATTCAAACCAGGTAAAAACACCTCCTGTCGGATGTTCTACCGAGCCTCCGATTTCCCCTTCCGTAATCCTTATCATACTTGTAATTGCCGCTTCTGTGATTACCTTACCCATCAGGCCGGAAATTTTTCTCCGTTACATCCTCTGACTTCTACCGTAGGGATTACTCGTGGTAGGCACTCAACGGGTTATCTGTTAACCGGATGCATGGAAGAATAAATGAAAGGTTATAGTTTCAATTATAAATATTCCTTCCCTTTATGAAGCAGAAAGACGCCTGTAAAAATACATTAATATGTTTTCCTCTTGTGTTTTTCCCTGTAATGATCCTGTTTCTGTTTCGCCAGAGGCATCCAATGCCTCAGGGGCAACTAAAGTCTTCTTAGTAGGGAAGCACAGAGGAAGAGGAAAATGATCAGCTGTTAACAAATAACAATTTGTGTGTGTGTGCGTGTGTGTGTGTGTGTGTGTGTGTGGTGCATGTATGTGCATGTAAAGCTGGGTGTTAACCTTAAACAACACTCTCTGTGCAGAGAGAAAGGATTTTCACATTTCAAAGGCATTCTCATTTTAAAATCAGAAGTCGGGCCCTTAAAGGACTTCATGAGCCTCAATGAGGAGGATGGGGCAGAAGAGAATTTGCATCTCCTGAGGGAGAGGAGAAAGAGCACTTCTATGGTATTGAGAGAAAGAAGACAAGATAGAGAGAAGATAGTAGAAGGAATACAGAGAAGGTGAGTGTGGGAGGAAGTTGAAAGCAGATTTTTTTTTTTTTGAAGCTTTCTTGATTCCAGCCAGTTTGGACTTGGTGGGCAGAGACCACTTTCATCACCATCCTTCTGTTTTGTGTCAGTTACACATTGCATGCATCTGTTCAGTGTCTGGTTACACAACCCAGTCACTCAGCCCAGCTGATGGCGAGGAATGAGTGAGGGTAGGCTTTAGGGGGCAATTTCTTGGCCTGGTGAGGTGACATTAAATTAAGCAATGTATGGACCCATTTAAAAGGTTTTCTTGGTTGCTGGGGCTTTATTTCTTTTATTGTTTTTTCATTTGGGGAAATTCAGGTGGACATTCAAAAAGTCTCGAGGACCCGAATTATACATCTCATTGTGCCCGAGCGAAAACATAGAAGCAATAAAGAAGAGTAAGATGTTGAAAGAGTGGCCCTCAAGTATGAGGCTTTGTTATATCTCGTAAAGAATATCAATGACTTGGCCGGGCGAGGTGGCTCATGCCTGCCATCCTAGCACTCTGGGAAGCCGAGGCGGGAGGATCGCTCAAGGTCAGGAGTTCGAAACCAGCCTGAGCAAGAGCGAGACCCCGTCTCTACTATAAATATAAATTTCTACTGTTAATTAACCCCACTCAAAGCCACCAATACCTCTGTTAGAATATGACAGCAGGCTGGGCGTGGTGGCTCACGCCTGTCATCCTAGCTCTCTGGGAGGCCGAAGCAGGAGGATCGCTCAAGGTCAGGAGTTCGAAACCAGCCTGAGCAAGAGGGAGACCCCGTCTCTACTATAAATAGAAAGAAATTAATTGGCCAACTAATATGTATATAGAAAAAAATTAGCCGGGCATGGTGGCGCATGCCTGTAGTCCCAGCTACTCGGGAGGCTGAGGCAGAGATCACTTGACCCAAAGTTTGAGGTTGCTGTGAGCTAAGCTGACGCCAGGCACTCACTCTAGCCTGGGCAACAAAGCGAGACTCTTGTCTCAAAAAAAAAAAAAAAAAAAAGAATATCAATGACTTAGTTGACATTGGGATGAACAGTGATTATTTTTATTTTTATTTTTATTTTTTGAGACAGAGTCTCGCTTGTTGCCCAGGCTAGAGTGAGTGCCGTGACGTCAGCCTAGCTCACAGCAACCTCCAACTCCTAGGCTCAAGTAATCCTCCTGCCTCAGCTCCCCGAGTAGCTGGGACTACAGGCATGCGCCACCACGCCGGCTAATTTTACTATGTACTTTTTTAGTTGGCCAATTAATTTCTTTCTATTTATAGTAGAGACGGGGTCTCGCTCTTGCTCAGGCTGGTTTCGAACTCCTGACCTTGAGCAATCCGCCCGCCTGGGCCTCCCAGAGAGCTAGGATTACAGGCGTGAGCCGCCGCGCCCGGCCTGAACAGTGATTATTGCATCTATATCTTGAAAGAAACTCAAATGCCCTTTCCTCTCTCTCCAGTTGCTGAAGAAGACAGAATGTAGGACGAGCATGCGCCGTCCTTCCATGGAGTGTGGGTTTATCAGAAGGCGGATACATGAATTCATGTGGGGCCAACACTCCCCTTCATACCACTGGCTTTCATTGTTCCTCAACTCTTCTTGTCTTACTGTCAAAGTTACACGGCGGGCCAAAGCCAGGGGCCTGCCAGGAACCATTCCTCCCGGCTCCTGTGGTTTGCATAGAGCACCATGACCAGAGGCTCACCTGTAACTATGTCTCAGAATACCTAACGGGGTGACTGTTTGTTTTTAGAGCCCTCTCTCTCCAGATCTAGTGGCTTTTTTTTTTTTCCTGGTAATTATGTTTGGCTAGCTTATCATCAAATTGGAATGGTTACAGAAGAGATTAAATCGGGTCTTATAAATTGCAAAAACAAACTTTTTTGAAGCTAAGAGATTTTAATTCAGAATTTTTCTTCTTATCACTTCATCCTTTCCTCTTTCTTTGCTTCACTGCTTGCTTTCTTAGTGAAAGGATTACATTAATTGAGTCAGGGAAACTACATTTCCTTCAGGAGTTACAGAAAAAGGAAAGTTTACCCAGTTGCAGTGTTAAATGTTTGACTCAACCATGTTTCCAAGATTGTTTTGAGGTTTTCTTTTTCCTACTAAATTTTATATACTCTGCAATACTACTAAAACCTGGACAGTGTAGCCATAGTTCAAACTTGTTACAAATCAATAAATATAATGTATTTTAATGTTTTTTCCAAAGTCAGTTTTTCATTAGTTTAAAAGTCTCCATGCAGAAACATTTCTAACATGACTTAAAATGAAAAAAAAAAAAAACATTGACCAAACGAAAATTTTCTGATTTGTAATTAATGTATTTATTTGTATTCTATCTTGTTTCAAAACATAGTTAAGAACATTCTGTATATGACTTAATCCGTTTGCAGTAGAGTGCATGAACATACACAATTGTTATTTAGCTTTGAGTACAAAGCTGATATATAAAACTGAATACAAAAAAAAATGGAACAAGATTCAAAAATAGCTATTTAGATATGTTTTTTTTTTTTTATCCAGTTAATTGTTAGAGGGGAGATTCTATGAGTTAAAACGGAAGATGGACCTTCATTCAACATTTTGTCTTGTGGCAGATTTTTCTCAAATGTATTCTGGCTAGGAATGTCTGGCTTTTAGATTTCTCAGGAGGAAGTGGATTTCTCAGAAACCCTAAATAATTCAATGTAATGCTTAAACACCCACTGTTACAAAACACAGGTTAAGCAAATTTGAAATCTATTCTGTTGCTTTCTTAGCTCAGTTCATTTTTCTAACTACAGAGAGGCAAGACAACAGAACTGTGCTTCTCATATAAAAATACTTGCAATGCCAAAGTATGTTACTCAGGTAACATAGTTCCATCAACTGTGGGCCTCCAGATACCTTATGAGGCATGGATGGATGAGGCCTCAGGCAGTCTCCATGTGTAGGGAAGAGGATTTTTAGAGCCAAGTACATAACTCCAACGTCAGTATAAATATATGCATTAAACGTTGCTCCAAAGGTCTGTAAGAAAAAAATAAAAATATGATCAGTGTCATTCTTGAATCCTCCTGTCACATTCATGCGTCACAGTAGACGTCTCTGCAGTTCTACAATGCGGCCATACTTTTTGATCTATGTAGTCATTTTCTCACTTTAACTACATGGGACTTTCCTTTTTCTTGTTGTTACTTTGTACCTATTTCTGTAGAGACTCACTTTGAGAATTTGTCAAAACTGATTTAAAAAAAAAAACTCTTGGCCAAGCCCACACACATAGGCACAGAAAATTGGGTCCACTAACATGAGCCTGGTGCTGAGAAGTTTTAAAAAATCAGAGAACTCTATAAGACAATGTGCACGTTAAGCGATGGATCACATAGTACGTGGCCTAAGGCACGTGAGAATTCTGAGAAGGTAAATGAGCGCGATTGTCCCTTTTTATAGTGATGCCCTTTTGCTGGAGAAGAGCTGACAGAGGACAGCTCTCCAGTCAGCTGTCCTCGGACTGGTTGGTTAAAAAAAGTTCAACCAGGCAGAGTGACTTTTCCCTTCCTGTCTGGGTAACCAAGCATACCGTGGCAGGGGAAAAAAAAAACGAAAACAAAAATATATACAAATGAAGCAGTTGAAAAGAGCTGGGATCAAAACGTGACAGTGACATACCAACGATTTTGCACAAGTCAACTAAACACTTTGGATGAACTGAATTCAGTATCTTTAGCTGTAAAATCAGAATGATGTTCTCTCGCAAGGCTTACGTGAGGATTGGAGGCCCCTGTCAACATGTCTCGTATAGAGTTTACTCAATAGTTATTAAAATTAATTATTACGGTTGCTATAAAGGTCAAAATTAGATTAACTGTGCCAACTCACAATTACCTAACCCTTTATACCCAAGTAAAAACATCCTTTTCTTTTCTTTCTTTCTTTTTTTTTTTTTTTTTTTTTGAGACAGAGTCTCACTTAGTTGCCCAGGCTAGAGTGAGTGCCGTGGCGTCAGCCTAGCTCACAGCAACCTCCAACTCCTGGGCTCAAGCGATCCTCCTGCCTCAGCCTCCCGAGTAGCTGGGACTACAGGCATGCGCCACCATGCCTGGCTAATTTTTTCTATATATAAAATTTTAGTTGGCCAATTAATTTCTTTCTATTTATAGTAGAGACGGGGGTCTCGCTCTTGCTCAGGCTGGTCTCGAACACCTGGCCTCCAGCGATCCGCCAGCCTTGGCCTCCCAGAGTGCTAGGATTACAGGCGTGAGCCACCGCGCCCCGTCCCGTCCCTTTTCTTGATACTCAAAATTAGCACCGATTTTGAAAACGCACGTGAAATGGGTGGGTTCTACCTATTTCTGACAGAGACGCACTACTGAGGGCTGTTGGCATTTGCCCTCGGCAATGAAAGGGTTAATGGAAGCCAGGCAGAATCAATATGTTCAGTGTTCTGCGAAAGGAGAACCTTTTTTTAGACACTTTTCACAGGGAGGGCTTTTAAATCTTAGATAGTAGCATCTTTGTGAAATTGCTCTTAGATTTCTCTAAGATGGACTGTATATGTAGAAAGCCTTGAGAAAAAAAAGTAACTATAAACCTGAAGAGACATTCTTGTGGGCTCCTCACTTTACGGTAAGGGGTTCCAGGGAAGAATGGGGTTTTGGGGACAGAAATGCTAGACTGACCCCTCCCCCCCCTTTCTGTGATCTGTATTTAATTAAATGAAGCTCACCGATCATGCAATAAGAAAATGGCATTATGTTGTCAACTTGGAGCCAGAAATCCTTGTGTATGAGAAGGATAAAATTTCTCAATTCGGTGAGGCCTAAATTCTGCAAATCATCCTTAGTGAACCCATACAGAAAGATCCCTATTTTCCTTCATTTTTATGTTCTCAGAGACGCAACCTATACTAGATTTTTTTTCCCCCGAGTTCCCATTACCCTTAAAGATCTATGATGAGTCTCCAAATTTTACACTTGTAATTCTGAGGCCATTTTTTTTTCTCTAGGGCTGGGAGTTAAACTCTAACGCACAACTTATTTTATGCCTCAGTGATTTCAGTGAGGCTCCTCTGGCTGTCTCCTCCTCTCTGCCTGGCTCATCTGACAGGGAGACGTGCTTGAGCATCACAGGATTTCTCTGCCAGGGTGGCTGAAGGGGCATCAGCCCGGGAGAAGACGGATCATGGCCCCAAATGGAGACCCCCGACAGATTCAAATCTCTGGAACGTCTGGTCTCTGCTTTCTGCAAAGAGAAAGAGCTTGTTTAGGAACCGAGAAGACATTGCTGGGTCACGGCCACATTTGGCTTCCGGAAAGAGCAAAGATATGGGTTAATATCAGAGTCGGTTTCCAGAAGTTACAAAAGTTCACGCACACGGCTTCCTCGTTTCCAAACTTTTATGTTCCTCTCCGACAGAGATTGGCAAGCTATGACCCACAGCCCAAATCTGGCCCACCACCCCCTTTTAAACACAAAGTTTTATTGGCATTTTCAGGTTATCTGGAAGATCATCAAATTATCACATCTCTTCTGCCCCAATTACATTTTTTTTTTAATCTCACCATTCCATGTTTATATCTATTTCATGACAGATAACAACAGACATTCAGGCTCTGCCACATTCTCAATAAATACAGAGCACAGTAAACATCAAGAATCCTGCTTGATATATCTCTCCTGAGTAATTGTGGGTCTTGCTAAAAGCCAAAGTCAAATTCTTACAAAGCTCTCATGAAATGTGGCCTAGTTTTCTTAAATAATTTTATTTTTCAGTTGGCATTTCCATTTGACCTCTGGGCCAACCCAGAAGTGAGTCACAGATCATTACAAATAAAACTCTGAGAACTAAGGGCAAGATTGAATACAAATCCCATCCATCTTCTTCAGTTGAGAAACCAACGTGATAGAGATTTGTCCTGAGCTAAATCTAAAACATAACACATTACTGATTTGTAATCAGCACAAACTTGAAACTCAGTGCGAGTTCGGGTAGATTTTCAGGAAGACTCCCGCCTAGGTGGCTAGCATTTTTGATATAACTGTGCTATCCCAGTGTATGTATTTTAAAAGCAAGCCGTGGGTAAATAATTTTGGGCAGTGTTCATCACTGTTCAAACTTTACCAATCATTCCATCGGACCTTGTGTGTCAGTGGATGATCACAAGTATAGGTAATGTGGTAGCAAAAAAAAAAAAAAAAAAAAAAAAAAGATGACAAAGGACAAAAAGCCAGTCCAGTTTGACTAGAAAAACTATTAATAGAGGTCACTCGTGATGTCCATGACTCATTTTGGACATAGAAAAAAAATCACATGCTTAGATTATCTCTGTCCTATAAAATCAGTTGAGTGAAGGGAATTTCTACGTAATATGAAAATAGAGAGTAATTGGTAAATAATGACAGTCACAGGCTGTGATGAGAAATCTAATATAACCGTGGTGGTCATGAGGACTCAATCCTCTCTCTTCAAGAGAGCCTGCCGCAAAAAGTGTGCTGCCTGGCAGTCCGTAGCTGTTAAACGTGGCAACTGACTTGGAAGTTTGTGCCGCACCCCCTTGATCATTTGGGGCGCTTCTAGACCGCGATCGAGCACATTTAAAGCACCGGAGTGGAGCTATTTCTGCCATCTGCCACAAGGCAATCTTTCTAGGGGACTCCCTGTTGTCCGGGATAATACTCTCTCGGTACTGACGATCTCTTTTGTCTCTTTCATGTCAATAGAAACTCTGTATAGAGGACATGTGTGATTCTAAGATAGAATTTAAAGTACAGACCTGCAGCTGTGATTTTCTATGATTTCATGAAATAAACCAAAACAGCAGCAGCAGAGTTGGTGTTCTGGGCTGTCAAAGACTCAGCTGTTTTGATTATTATTATTATTTTTTTTATCTGTTTAGCCATACACAGGTATAAATGAGAACTCCTAATATAACTTTAGTGGCAGGGTATTAATCTCAGAGAAGTTGGAGATGAGTTAAGGCATTAAGAAATAACAGTGGCAAAATGCCTGATGGTTCAATTAGAAAAATACTATTGAATGTTCTCTTAAACGGTGCCAGTTCCTTGCGTATTACTGCAGTGGCCCCTAAAATTGGCAGTTCTTTCTGATACAACAATGATGGGGCACCCTTTTCTTTGCAAGTTTATATGGGTGAATGAGCGTCTTCAGGCTTTTGCAGGTCTAAATACACAAGACTTTCCTCAGAACTGACGTGACTGGCACTTCTTTGGTGTTTGGGATTGCTTTTCAGTTAAAATCAAAAGTATCATTTATATCTGAACAGTCATTACTTTCCATAGTTCTGTTAAACATCATCTCAAAAAAAAAAAAAAAAAAAACCACACTGCACAGATGGCATCTGTTGCATGAATGCTAAGCAAAATGGTATTGATTTTAGTTGCACTTTGTCTACAAGCATTTGCATCATAAATATCGCAAATGTAGAGCTGAGATATCACACAATGCAAAGACAGTGAACACGCTGATGCTTTCACTCCAGCAAATAAGAGGCTCAACCACTTCATTGACATTACCCTCGGCCTAGATAATGAGTTTTGATAGTTTTGAGAACCTAATAGTATTCTCTCTATTTCTTGTACTTATAGGAATGAAATTGGTGTCTCAGATGTGAACAGGAAGTTATGCTAATGTGGGGCTAAATGATTGTTCGCTAACTCACTAGCATTTTAAGCACACTTGTTTGTCTCTTGCACCTGAGCACAAGTCTCTAGGTGTCCGGTTGAAACCCACAGGTTTCGAAGTGACAGGGCAGAGCCTCACCCAGCGTTGTGACCACATGACTCACCCCAGGATGGTGACCACATAAAGACATCTCACCCATAAAGATGAGCTCAGTGGTGTGATAAATTCTAGGTAGTTTCATTTTAGACCATAGGTTGCATAATGGTCAGAGCCTTTGCACTCTGTCATGTTCATATGAACATATATTTTGTACTTAAAAACAGTAGCGATACTTAAAAGTAGATAACTCCTGCCATCTGTATAGCTCAGCTATCAAGAACAAAAATGAAGTCTGTCTTGATCAACAGGATTACATTACTTTTTTTTTTTCCCCAAAAAAATTATTTCTGGGAGATAAGACTCTATAGCAGGAAATAACATCATTGAATTCTTTAAGAATTTCGGGAAAACTAATCTATCTGAATAATAGGTAGCTGCTGCGTCAGTCTCCTTTTCAGGACAATAGATCACTCAACAGGCAAGCTGCCTGTTTATCAAATAACTGTTTACTTGTCAACACCCAAATCTTTGCCTGCTTGTTTCCACCAACCCTGTGCCCTAACGGATTGGACCCATCTCAACTAGAGCTCCAGAAAGAAAGATCCACCGTAAATCGCCGGACCTCAGGCACCAAGACTTTCCAGCTGTTGCCCCAGCCTCTCCTTTCTGAGATATTACGAACACCCTCTCGAGCTGGGCACCTTCCCTACTGCAGTAGGAAGTAGGTTTGGCTTTGCGTGACTGGTAGGTTCCTTTCTGGTGCTTTGCGGGGAGTTGTGCATTGATATATTACTTTCACATTGTAATAATTCTAAAGCACTTACAAAGCGTTTGTGCGTTTATCATCTTTTCAAATCCTACATCAGTTAATCTCGTCACACGAGGTGCTTTTTTTTTTTTTTCACCCCAGAAATACTGTCTCAGAAATGAACCTCAATGTCCCATTTTAGGTCATTTTTAACACGGACAGCTTTCTTTTTGAATTCCTGCTATTCCAAATCTAATCCTCTCTGAGGCCACAGAAGCTCCTGACTAAATCATGGAAAGGCCATGTATTAGGAAATATGAAAAAGGAAATGTGCATTAAAACATTCTGTCATATTCTCTTTCTACCCATGATCGATTATGATTTCATCGTGACGGGAGACCATAAACCCTGTGGTCTTGGAAAAGCAGAAGTAGAATAGGGTCTTCTGTCTCTCTCTCTAACCTCACGCTTAGCTCAGGGTGGTTTGCTTGATATAAAAATCAAAATAGCTACCAGAGATAATCTTTCAGTTTGTGAGATGTCTAGAAGGATGTCTAGACATTATTTTATTTTGTATTTGTATCCCAAGCACTAGCACACTGTCTAGAACACATAGGCACACAATACCTACTTTCGAATGGGTAAAGAGTTCATGCTGATTATAACAAAATGTATACATATATAGCAAATTATCACACGGTACACTTGGAATGTGTTCAATCTTTATTTGCTGATTTAAAAAAAAAAAAAAAGAGTTCATGAGTGCACAGTTGCTTAAATTGAGTAGTTTCAGAAACTATGACCACAATGACATATTGTAAACTCCAGAGGGCACCATTCAGATTATATTCTGTGGGATGATTCTTCCAGTAGCAAAGCTCAGGGGATTGTTGTTTACGTGCAATGTGCCCGTGTGAATCGTACCCTGAGTTCTAAGAAAAGTTCCGCCATCCAAATGCCAAGATTCTTCTAACATTCTTTCATTTCAGCCAGGTTTCAGTTAGCTCGTTTTGTTTTAAAGTTACATTCTCTCTTAAAAGGCTGCAGGTATGTATATGTATCTACATACCTCTGGGCTGAGTAAAAAAACTTTAGGTTCTTATCAATTCAACACTGCTAAGGAGAACATTCCTGACATGGGGATTGGAGAACATGTGAAACAGATGGTGTTGGAACATGGAAGGGAGTCAATGAAAAAAAAAATAGTAGGGGGCCCCCCAAACTTAAAATGTCTCAATTTTATTTTTATTGTCTGCTATAAAATTCCCTGGAGGGATATGTTTGCCTTCAAGACTCTGAACCATAAAGTTCTTCAAACTCAGGGAAGGTCTTTTATAGGAGTAGAACAGAGAACACCATGCTGGTTCCCCAGATGGGCTGGAGGAAAGGTGTTCTGGTTGCTCCAAGGAGAAGTTAAATATGACCAGAAATTCTTGTTCGCATCTGCTGTTGTCAGAAGAAGAGGCTCAAGTTCCAAGAAACCAAGGCACAGCCGTCGTATCTAGACAACAGAGACAGATACTTTTTCCTGCTGTTTGGGGAGCTGCACGTTTGGCTTGATTCTCGGTTTCCTTCCTGCTTACTGGTCCCACAGCCCTACCTGTTAAATGTCTTCTAAGGATTCCATTGTATCTTCAAAAAAAATCTATATATATGCAAAAAAAATAAACTGGAGGGACCTTCATATTGCATTAATTGCATTAATTGTGCATAAACAGCTCAGATAGCTTGAGAAAGCCCTAAATGGCAGGGCCAATGACAATGGAATGGCAAACAGGTCCCAAGGACACCTCCAGGAAGCTCTTGCAGAGTCAGAAGACTGAACCACTGAGTGCTCCACACTATAGTCTGACGAAAGCATTAGGGGAGCTCTCACCAGGACCCTAGCTGAACACACAACAGCCTTACAAAATACTGCTTTGGTAATAAAGGGCCTTTTCTCTGATAGTCTTTCATCTTTGTTAACAGATAATATAGTAATGTTGATCATGTTTGCATTGAAAAAGTAAAATTTTCTCCTTTGTACTTCATGTGTACAAGTAGAATGGGGAAGAAGAACAGAAGACACAATCAGAATCAGATGGAGAAAGAACACCTCAGCCTCTCCAACAAGACTTCTAACATTCACAGTTTGAACCAGCTTACTCGACCATGAACCATCTTAACTGTGACCAGAGAAATGGAATGTGCCGGATGACCTAAGTCAGCCAGGCCTGAGTCCCTGGGTATACAGCCAGACAGAGGGACACTCACTGAGTATCTGGATACTCTTAGATAAAAGGATGAGGGGATGGGTTCTGGATATATATAATCAATAAATTTCCACTACAGGCCACCTCAGTGACTAATTAGCATCCATAAATACCATTATTTTATTTTATTTGTTATTTTTTTCAGCATATTATGGGGGTACGAGTGTTAAGGTTATGTATATTGCCCATGCCCCCCTTTCCCCCTCGAGTCTGAGCTTCAAGTGTGTCCGTCCCCCAGACGGTCCACATCCTACTTGTTGTGTTTATATATACCCACCCCCTTTTCCCCCCTCCTACCTGCCCGACACCTGATAAATCTTATTCCTATATGTCCACTTAGGTGTTGATCAGTTAATACCAATTTGCTGGTGAGTACATGTGGTGCTTGTTTTTCCATTCTTGGGACACTTCACTTAGTAGAATGGGTTCCAGCTCTAGCCAGGAAAATACAAGAGGTGCTAGATAACTCTTGTTTCTTATGATTATCATATAAACATTTTCAAAAATCCCCTTCTTCTTCTCGAAACAGAGGCCACACAATGTCTGACCTGCATCCAGCTACAAAGTATTGGTCCCTAACTTGGGAAATGCAATAATCGTCTTTCTGAATGTCAGCCCAACTGTGTTACCCAGAGGCTAGTAAGGCTGGCCCGAGAGTTTTTGTGCAGTCATTGGTATGGATTGTTCACTATGGGACTAGCCTAAGGTAGGGGACACTTATTTAAAGCCAGGAAAAGCATAAACAGCCAGAGAGATTACCCGAACCCAAGATTTTAAGGGAAAGCCCAAACATTAAGACACACACGTGCTCATACACACACACACACACACACACACACGCTCACACACACAGACAGAATCAGAGCTAGGGGATGTGCTTAGTGAAAAGTGTAGAACTCAGAAGTAAGAAATTCTAAGTAAGACTGGCAGAGATGTGTCAACAGTTCGCTGACTGATGCCCAGATTGTTGTTCATTCTCATTGAACGGTGGGTGGTTTCTATCTCTCCCAGAGCAAAGCCAAAGCCCCGTGGGATACACAAAGCCCACCCTGGCTATCTTTCACTAACCCATGCCCTACTCCCCTCCCCAGACACACTCTCCACTCCAAGCATGGACTTCCCTGTTGCTCTTGGCCTGGCCTGATTCCACCTCAAGGACTTTGCATTTGCTATCTCCTGTGTCTATATAATTCTGTTTACCCAGATGTCTATACGGCCTGATCCTAGATTTCCTTCAGATAGCTCTTCAGTCAAAAGTCGGCTTTTCAAGAGGCCTAACCCTGGCCATTTTCTTAAAATTTTCAATCCCTTCCCCTCTCCGCTCTTCCCCCCCAATATTTTAGATCTTCTTTTTGTGGTGCATTTTTCCTCCTTAGTTCTTACCACTGAATACCATATATATATGTTTTTTTTCTGTTTATAGTGTTTACTGCCAGTCTTAACCTCTAGAATATGAGGTTCATGATGGACTTTTGTCCATTTTGTTCACTTCTTTTGTCCTTAAAACCTAAATTAGATTTATACATAGTTAAGCACACAATACAATGCGTTGAATAAATGAATAAGTGAGTCGAGAGAGCAAGAGGGGCCAGAGGCAGGAGGAGCAGTGGTTGGAAAGTGAAGTTGGCTGTGCCAGTGGATTCATTCGAGAGGGTTCGGTACCAGAGCGCCCACTCCCCCAAGGAGATTCCGGGTTATCAGTTGTGATGTGCGTGTGGCAGCTGCTTCCATGAATAACTGTGGAGGGGTCATTGTGAATTGTGAAATGACCCTCAGAGGGTAATGTGGCAGGGAAGAAGTTGTGAGTAGTTGCAATGCCATCAGAAGAAGTTCTCGGCATGAGGAAGACCAGAGCTTGCCTGTTTCTTGTGTCATCATAGCTCTTTGTAATGCAGGCCGAGAGTACTTTAGAGAATTCTCTACCCGCCTATTTACCACAAAAGGGGAGATGTTATTAAAGGAAAGTCAGTCATTTTACCGAACTTGGCAGCCCGGAAATAATATAAACTACAACAGAGAGAAGGAGACAGAGCCCTGTCTTGCTTGGGTCCTACCAACTTGAAAGTACGTTCATGTCCTCACTTTTGCCTAGTTTGTAGCTCAGAATAGATGCTAAGCACTGTTGCCTCCCTTCCTTTATTGGAGACAAAATTCCTTAAATTAATCCAAATCTGCTGGAAATTGTCCCTTTTTGTCACTCTAAAATTCCCAAACCAAGAGTATGTCACTTTATCTACTCTACAATTCCAAAACAAATAGGTAGCTCATTTCACACAAAAAGATTACTGGGCCTCAAACTTTCCTCCCCCCACTCCCTTCTACCCACGATGAACCTGAACTTGTATATAATTTATAACCTCGTAGAGAAGATGACTTACTTATCACCATGTCCTGAGGAGCTTCCCACGATGATGATGTCTACACCAGAATAAAATCTTCAAAGCTGCTGTAAATCCAATCTCTTCTTTCAGTAGTAGGCCTGATTCACTTCCAGCATGCTCCGTGGTGTACTTTTGCAGGGCATATAGAAATCATATTCTGTTTTCAAGGAAGACGCCAAAGGGAAAATTGAGAAAGCATAGAAAAACAAGGAGCCTATGACTGACTAATAATATTCAAAGGTCCTCTCTAAAAGGAGAGGATTTTTAGGCGAAATGTAAAGGGATTTTTGTTCTGATCATCACGCACACTCAACTTGAACACCTTTGTTTTTTTGCTTGTACTTATCTTTGTTTCTATACCTAAAAGCAAAAGTTTGAATGGGCTTATAAATTGACTTTTATCTTTATTCATAAGTTAATTTTGGAAGTACAGGCCAGTGAAATACACACGCTGCCTACTTCTGCCTCTAGGCCCTGGGCTTAGAAAACATTCAAATAAGGAGGATGCTGCTGTTCTCTTCCTACCTGTCGTTCTATGGTCTCCCATTGAAACTCCATCGTTCATGTTTCAAGGTTCACAGTAAAAGCTATTTTTTGTCAGAGGCATAAAATTCTCCTTTTTTCTCTCCTTTCATGGGAGTACCTTTGTTTCAACTATGGAGCTGAGGCTTGTGGTATAATGCAAACTTAATATTCTTCCAGCATTAAAATTCACAGAAATTTTTCACAAATTTCTTTGATTATAAGAATTCCCAGGATGCAGATGCTCAAGTTCTACTTCTAAAGATTCTGATTCGCTAGGTCAGATAAAGACTCAGGTGATAAATTAAAAGACTCTTGACCTCTTAAGCATCTCACAATGGAGCATGTCTTAGAATGCAAAAGAATAAGGCATTTTTTTATTATATTTGTGCAACTTTTTATACAGGATATTTTTTTTTTTTTTGGAAAAAGAAAGATAACACTATATATTGCCACGGTGTGGAAAACCAGTATAGTCAATGCAGCTGAGAGACTAAACTGGTGCAGTCACTACGGAAAGAAATCTGGTGTGATCAAAGGGGTGAGTGAGCTCCCTGAGAAGAGCTATAAAACATAAATATATAAACCAATGAAAAGAACAAACATGGATTTTTGTCAACATCATTTCATCCTTAACTGATTTTAAAAATGAAGAATTGCATAAACTCTTTTCGTATGTGATTTAATAAATGTATAAGGGATTTTTAGTCGGTGCCTTCAGCTCTCAAAGCTAAAAGCATACTAACCAATACAAGTTAAAATATATGGTGAGACATAAATGTGTGTGTAACTCTAGCCCTTCAAAAATGTATTCACCAGTTACCAGTGGATGAACTACATTTAAATGAACTACACTTTATGAATAAAACTAGGATGTTTTGGTTTTCCTTTGTGGACTGTAATTCAGTTTGACTGAGATTTAAGAGAGATGTTTTTATCTTACTCTTTGCCTCTATACCAAAGATGCAATTAAAAACACATAATGGTTTTGGTGTGTCTGTAACTAGTGATAAAGAAGATTATCTTCTAAATTACAACCCTTAACCATCTTTTTGATGTAGGATATTTGGAGAAGTGGAAGCTAAAAGCGGGGCATTATACAAATTCTCCAAAATGAATGTTTTATATAGACATGAAGCATATTAGACATTGTCACCTTATACCTTTGCCATGGTTTAAAAAGCTAGGGTACTATGAGGAAGGCACCATCTGTTTTTTTTGTTGTTGTTGTTTTTATTTCTAAACATAATTAGAAAAGTATCTGGAGACAAAATGTACTGTCTGAACAAAAGATAAATAAAGGAAGAAAACACAACGTCCCTAGATGATGCATAAGAAGAAATCTTTCTCTCAAAGTAGTGCAAAGGCCAATGGATTTAGGGTCAGAGCACTGAGGCTTGCGTCAGCCCTCCTGCACTCAGTAGTTGGACAACAACAGTCAAGGCAGTTAAAATGCGTGAGCCTGATTTGCTATACTGCAAAACATGCAAAACACTTAAAAATAGTAATGTCTTGAACCAATGCTAAATCCTAATTTAAGCAGAATTTAAAATGCCGCTTTGCATTATATTGTGTATACCTTGATTCAAAATATTGTGACTTTTGGATGTAAACAAAAATGATTAAATGAGTTAAGTAACTAGAAGGCAGATGGTGCTGTGAGGCAGATTGGCCCATTATTGTTCCAAAAATGCATAAAGTATGTTTATGTATTGAAATCCCTTATGACTTTTTAGTCCTGATTTTAGAACTGGAATATGCAACAGAATATAAGAAGAATGTGCTCATGTCCGTAGTTACTGGCAAAGTTGAAGGGGCCGTTTATAGCCCTAACTCCACACCTCCCATTTGTGCGAGGCAGTCTCTAGAGACTGTGCCCTGGGCAGTCCCACTTATTACCAACGAAAATTACAAGCCCACTTCCCAATCACATCCTTAATCTTCCATGCCCTTTTGCATTCTAACATGCTACATGATTTACAAGTTTTTATGTTTATTGGGTTTTTTTTTGAGCATTTTCCCTACTAGAATTCAAACTTCACAAAGGCAGAGAGCTTTGTCTATTTTGTTTGTTGAATTTTCTCAGATACCTAGAACAGTTCCTGACCCATACATACTGTTCTTCAGTAAGCACCTGCTGAAGGTTGAATAAATAAACAACTCTTTTGATAAGCAGATATATAACTAAAATACGTTCCTGTGTTGTTGCATATGTGTGGAAATGACTCAATATATTCAGGGGGAAATGTAATAATGGTAAGTCTATAATAATATAGATATTAAGCAGTAAAGGATTGCATACAAAATTATGATACAGAAACATCAAATGTTACGCCTTCTTGTTGCATGTTTGTACACACATGCGTCGGTTTATCTTTAAGTAACACAGGTATTCACTATGTCATGGGTCAGTTTGATAAAGATAAAGACTGTAAGTCTAGGTGGTGCAGGAGACATGAGGTAGCAATCTGAATCTCAGTTCTAGTATTGATGACTATCTTCCTGATGTAAACACACCCCCTCATCGATTTGGGCCTGCTAGCATTTAGTAGAGTGTTCAATATGACAATATGATAAATGATTGAATGCATGAATGTTTCTTCTTCTAAGTATAAAGATAGTAAATACACTATAGATCATTCTTACTACCTTTCTAGTTTTTGGAATTGTGTTTTCTCTAAAAAAATTTTTTTTCTCTATGAAAACAGGTTATTCAGTTAGTGCATTGAGTTTGAAAGTTATTACATTGGAAATATTATATGATCTTGTTCCTTCAATAAACTGGTTACATGTTGGGCTCAAATTTAACTCTTTTTAGAGGTGCAAGGTCCTATGATGACTAGAATAAGGGTCTGGAACAAGACAGACCTGAGTTAAAAGCCCACCTTTATCATTAACTAACCATGTGTCTATCCTGATTCTCAATTTTCTCATTTTTAAATGGCTTAATTAAGAGGTATGCCAAATGTTTATTGTGAAAATTAAATGAGATAATGCGTGCAAAGTACTCAATCCAAAGAATGGCACACAGTAAATGCTAAATAAATGTTAAACTCTCTCTTCTCTTTTCTATATCCCAATTCATTTTAATAATGTTATTTCTTTCTCTAGACAATTGATGCTGATTGATTCCTATTGAAAATGAATTATTTCTATTGAAAACCTGAAACATATCCCTAAATTACTGGAAGCATATTATAATAATTGTAATAAAGCGAGGCTTAATCAGTTCTAATAATTACATCCTGGGCTATCTGAAACATGGAAATAATTATACTTCTCCTGAATGCCTTTTTACATAATTGTCCTGTTTGTTTCAACTAATACATTCAGACAAAAAGACTTGTCTGCTCATGTATTGATTCAATCCAGTTTATTTTTGATGTACAATGAATCGAAAGTAACAACAGCCATTTTTTTTTTTCTTAAATGTTAATAGTACAGAACCTAACTCATGGTCAATAACTTGGTGATTTTGTCACTATACTTGTACTGAGGAAACTGCCAATAATATTTTACACAGTCAGAGAGCTTCTTGCATCTTCATTGCCAGCTTTCTGGATTACAGTATAATTCTGTTTGCATAGACTTATTTATTTTTTCTTTTTCTTTTTGCCTCATATATTGAATGGTGCTATGACCTGAATGTTTATGCCCTCACAAAATTCATATGTTGAATGAAACCTGATCTCCAATGTGGTAGTATCAGGAGGTGGGACCTTGGGAGGTGATTAGGTCTTGAGGGCAGAACCTTCATGAATGAGTTTAGTGCCCTTAGAAAAGAGACCCCCCCCCCCCCAGAAAGTTGCTTTGTCTTCTTCCAACCTTGCGAGAGAGCACATCAGGAAAGCACAGTCTGAATCAGGAAGCAAGTTCTTATCAGACAGTATCTGCTGGGCACCTTCATCCTAGACTTCCCAGCCTCTAGAACCGTGCAGAATAAATTTCTGTTGTTTACAAGCTGCTCAGTTTATGGTATTTGTTATAGCAGCTGGAATGAACTGAGATGAATTGCATTCATTTTTTTTTTTTTGTACGTACTGCTCCAAGTTTGACAATTGATATGTCTTCATATTCTAAACACATTTAAAGCCACCGGCCTGCAATTTATATGAGTACACTAAATTATATCTGAAAGAAATGAAAGAATTTAGCAAATGTTCTTTTATAAGAACACAGCAAGAACAGATGATTTTAAATTGATAATTCTATAATTTCTTATACTTTTTGATATTGATGAAAGTGAGCACATAGATAAGGATGTATAATTTACAAAGGGCTTGCTTATATATTACCTTATGTGATTTGCATCTCACCCCTGGGGTCTGTAACATGATTATGCCATTTTTACATGTAAGGAAAAACTGACTCTTGAAGAAATTAAGTGATGGCTTAGATTATGTGTCTCGTAAATGATAAAGTTAGGACTGGAGCTCATATTTTTTAACTCCACATTTTATCAAGTTTAAATCGCTTGATATTCCCCAAACTTTCTGCATCTCAGGAGAGTGTAAATAAATAGACTACCTTGACTTGTATCAGTGGCCTTCTTCCATTAGAGAAAAAAAAAAAATCAAAGAAGGAGACTGTAAAAGCTATTGAATTTTTTTTTTTTTTTTTTGAGACAGAGTCTCGCTTTGTTGCCCAGGCTAGAGTGAGTGCCGTGGCGTCAGCCTAGCTCACAGCAACCTCAAACTCCTGGGCTCGAGCGATCCTTCTGCCTCAGCCTCCCTGGTAGCTGGGACTACAGGCATGTGCCACCATGCCCGGCTAATTTTTTTATATATATATCAGTTGGCCAATTGATTTCTTTCTATTTATAGTAGAGACGGGGTCTCGCTCTTGCTCAGGCTGGTTTTGAACTCCTGACCTTGAGCAATCCACCCGCCTCGGCCTCCCAAGAGCTAGGATTACAGGCGTGAGCCACAGCGCCCGGCCTGAATTTTTTTTAATCGTCTCATCGTGTATTAAGAAAAACGTCCAAACCCTAATGGGGTCCCAAGTGAGGAGCACAACTACGTAATAGAAAACTACTCCACTTACTAATAAATGAAATTTTGAAATCATATAAGATTGATTTCGGGAAAAAAAATTTTTTTTTCCAGTTGCAAAGATTTAGTCCTTCAATATTCCAACAACACTTTTCTACTGCTCACCGGGTTCTCACAACTGTTTGCCTTAACTACTGCTGACTTCAGAATGCCAGTCCTTAAGAATACGATGGCCTCCATACACCTTGATTAAAAGGGATAAGGGGCAGAGGCTTCGTTTGGGTTCTGCAGGCAGATGTGTTGGTGTTCTTGGTTCTAGGATTTACCAGTTGATGTGTGTGTGTGTGTGTGTGTGTGTGTGTGTGTGTGTGTGTGTGTGTAAAGGGGGGGGTTGGTCCTGGTTGGATGGTCCCGGTTGGGTGGAACTTCCCAGGAGCAACTTCTCCGACTTGGTCCAAATCATGCCAAAGGTGAGTCTTGGGTACCGTCCGATGTTCCAGCAGTGTACTCTGGCAGTGGCCTACAAGACGGGCAGCGGGAGCAAGCCAGCAGCACGGGCCACATACGGACAGGGGTCAGATGACCCACTTACTGGGAGGGTCTCTCCATCTGGAGACCATTCTCAGAGTTTGAGAGACCGTTCCCCTTTTTATATACCTGCATTCAATCCCAGTCAGCTAACAAGTGTTCCTCTCATGAGGAGAGTTTAAGCCAATCTTACTAGGGTAAGTTTTGTTTTAAGGTCTATGAGAGTTGCATCTGTCCCAGTTTGACCTTGTCTCTGGGAAAGCCCCAGGCCAGGTTGCATCGTACTGCTGAGTGACGTGAGATGTGGGACCCGCAGGATGATGGAGGGTGCCTTCTGGCTGCCATTAATCTTACAGCCGCGGCATGCCTCTCGTGGTGTTCTGTGCTCCTGAAATGCTCTTAGGCAATTTCCTTGAGCTCTCTAAGTCTCATTTTCATCCTCTGCACAAAAAGCAATAATAAGTATATCTTTAGGGTTTCTGTTAAAAACAAAAGAAAACCTCTAGCTAGTTTAAGCAGTAAGGTGCCTATAAAATCTACTGGATGAACAAAAGGAACCAGCTCTTGGTTGAACTTTCAGGGAGCAAGTCAGGCCTCAGAATCTCACTGCTTCTCCCGTTGTGTGGAAAATTGATACACAGCTTTTCAGCAAACCATGGGACCAGGAAACTTTTGCTCTCAGAACCGTGTGATGGCATGTGCCATCAAAATTAACGCCTTTTGAAATCAATTGGCCAACTAAAAATATACAGAAAACATTAGCCGGGCATGGTGGTGTATACCTGTAGTCCCAGCTACTTGGGAGGCTGAGGCAGGAGGATCGCTTGAGCCCAGGAGTGTGAGGTTTCTGTGAGCTAGGCTGATGCCACGGCACTCTAGCCCCAGCAACGGAGTGAGACTCTGTCTAAAAAAAATAAAAAATAAAAAAAGATTAATGCCTTTCTCTCCGTGTCATTTAGTTCCAGATGCAAATACATCAAATTGGCAAACTTAAAAAGATCAAGAAAACTGATTTCAAGGTAGCTTCAAAAAGGTAATAGTTTAGCTTCCCAAAGAAAGCACACTAGAAAGAAATCAGCATAGATGTTGAACCAGCCAATCTATGATATCTACTAGAATAATAGTACATACTTTTGAGTTCCATTTGGCCTAGTACATTAGATAATGCATATCATGCTCTTGAGCCATGGTTTTTGCATAGTGGAGTCCCAAGAATTCCTAGCTATTATCATTATTATTGTTAATATTATTGTTCTTGGCCAACTATCCATACATGTCCCCTTGTCGGTATTTCTTTGCAGAGCTGAAAGAAAATGAATCTTTCAAAAATACTGTATTAAACCATAAGGGAATAAAGAAGTGGTGGATACAGACACTACCAGATACACAAACTATTTTATTTTTCAAAGCAAAGGTAAGCATAACCTGTAACATTTTCTTTTGGCTCCTTAACCTCCATGAGTACCCTGGCTCATTTCAGTCCTAACCCCTGGCTTTGCTTCACAATAGCATCTAAAAGTTCAAATTCATAGGAAGCAAAGAATACAATGGTGGTCACCAAGGCCTGAGGGGAAATGGGGATTGGAGAGATGTTGATCAAAGGATACAAAATTTCAGTGAGAACAAATTAGTTCAAGGGCTATATTATAAAACACGGAGCCAATAATATGCCTGCATCGAAACATTACAAGTACCCTATAAAGATATACAACTATTATGTACCTATAATAATTAAAAATAAAAAGGTATCATATATTTGGAAGTTGCTAAGAAAGTAGATTTTAACCACTCCGGTACGGTTGTCGACTATAGTCGACAGCCACAGATGAATGCACACAGCCGAGCGTCCACTTTAGCGTTAATAGCAACACTTGACTTTTCTAATTTTTCATTTATCAAAACAAAATTGGGAACATTTAAAAATAACGTAATGAAAACATATATGTATATGTTGCCTATTCTGATATTTACATGACAAGGAAAGCTGCCTGTAAAGTAAAACAAGCTTTCAGTGCTTTCAAGCTTTCCTCATCACACAAGAGCAAAACGGACTCGCCGTCAATGCACAGCACAAACTGTTGTGCAGACTATGAGTGCCGGCTGTGGGAGAGGTTTCTCGGCTGGTGAGTGCCAGACTGAAGTGGTTAAGTGTTCTCAACACAAAAAAAATGTATAAGTATGTGAGGTAATGCTTATGCTAATTAGCTTAATTTAGCCATACATTCTGCAATGTATACATATTTAAAAACATCATGTTATGCATCATAAATATATACAAGTTCTGTTTGTTAAGGAAAAATGAATAATAATTCAAAACTTAAAACACACTTGAAGGTTTTTTCTCAAAGGGGGAGGGAGGGCATGGGCAATATAGGTAACCTTAACACTTGTACCCCCATAATATGCTAAAATAAAAAATAAATAAATAAAATTAAAAAAAAATTAAAACATAAACAAATGAACCCAGGGGGAAAGAGTCGTAGTGGTTGTAGCTAAAATATTGCTTCTGCCACACTTAAAGTAAACCCAATCAAGTTATATGAACTGTTTTATTTCTTTTTTTTCCTGATTGCTCTTGCTACAACTTATAGTACTATGTTGAATAGAAGTAGTGACACTAGGTACCCTTGTCTTGTTTCAGTTGTTAGGGGGAATGCTTTCAATTTTTCCCCAATGATTTTGGTTGTGGGTTTGGCTTATATAGTTTTTATAATTTTGAGGTGTGTTCCTTCTATGCCTAGTTTATTAAGGTTTTTTTTTTTTATCATAAAAGAGTGCTGGTGTTACTGAATACTTTTCCTGCATCTACTGAGATGATCATATAGTATTTGTTTTTACTTCTGTTTTTGTGGTGAATGGTATTTATTGATTTGCATATGTTGAACCATCCTTGCATTCCTTTCATGAAACTCTCTAGATCATGGTGAATTATCTTTTTGATGTGCTCTCAAATACATTTTCCTAATATGTTGCTGAGGAAACTGGGTCAATGTTCATAAGCAATATTGGTCTCTAGTTTTCTTTTTTGTTGTGTCTTTTCCTGGCCCTGGTATCAAGGATATACTGGCTTCATGGAATGAGTTAGGGAGGCTTCCTTCCTTTTTGATGCTATGGAGTAATTTCTGTAAAATAAATGCCAATTCTTATTTGTAAGTTTGATAGAAACTAACTGTGAATCCATCTGGTCTGAGGCTTTTTTTTTTTTTTTTTTAGGGAGTTCTTGTTTTGTTTTGTTTTATTACTGCCTCAATCTTGCTGCTCATAATTTGTCTGTTCAGGATCTCTATTTATTCTTGATTCAGGCTTGGGAGATTATGCATTTCCGGTAATTTATACACTTCCTGTAGGTTTTCTAGCTTGTGCGTGTAGAGGTTGGTCACATTGCTAAAGAGTGAACATGAAAAATTGCCATCATTTTAACTAGCAACCTTCTACAGTCATACACCAGTTGCTGAAAATTATGCATGTATAGCCTCCAAATTGGTTTCATTTTAAATTACCCTGCAGTCTCCTGGAGAAGTAAAAGTAGGAGTTATGAGTTGAAATCAGCTATATATATAATACACACACACAACATATATATATATATATATGTATATGCATATATATATATTCTTCTCAGTCCTTATTTCAGGAGACTTTGATGTTGATTTGTGTTAAAATGGTGATGTTAGTTTGATCGCCTCTTTAGGGGGCTGTCTGCAAGATTTCTCAACTGTAAAGCTACAGAAAACACACACACACACACACATACATAAACAGAAGAACTGCATGTTTTACAGATTGTGAAATAATATGAAATAAAAAGCATCTATTATTTATGCTATTCTATTACTTGTACAATTTATTATAATCACTCTATAAAAAAATAGAACAAAGACAAAAAGAATTGCATATGGCTTCACTTCTCTTTAGGTCAAGTAGAGCTTATGTTAAAACTCCTAGCAGAAGTATGGCCAGGATTATATAAGAAATGTGAATTAGCCAAATGACTTTAGTGACATTTCAAGACATTTTGAACAAAATCAGAAAATGTGGTTATTAACTGGTAGAGTAGATGCCTAATGAATCAATTTACATGCTAGTATATTTACCTTTTAAATCATAAATCTTTAAGTACTGGTAAAAGTCCACCAGGCCATTTTTCTGTGTTTTGTTTCAACTAGCTGCATAGATTTCACATTACAGAGATGAAGACTTCAAGGAAGAGCCAGAGAGTCATTTATCTGTTGGATCATGTCTTCAAACACCCCTCTGGGTTTTTCTAATAAGAAATCTCTCCTCTCTGTACATTTATTTCCTACCCATGTGCTTAGTTTCTTCTCTTCGCTCTTTACTACTTAGTGACTTGTAAAAGTGAAATTGTGTGGGTCTCAGACATGGCACAATTCAGAGAATTGACAAAACTGGGAATGAGTCTGCCATGAGTCATGAGGAGAAGGTTATAACGTTGCCCACCCCCCCTAAAAACAAAATCATCACAAAGAACATAAGCAAATACAAGTGGAGCGGAAGAGAAAATAATAATTTATTACCTTAAAGCAATTGATAAGACACCCTTCCAAAAATAATTAGGAACTGACATTAGAATCACTTTCAAGGCGCCGTACTTAGTCATTCATAAAATTGTCTGGAGTCTGCTCTTTTCTCATGGTCTTTATTATACACCTGCAGCACAGAACTGAAAATCTGGACTGGGAACTAGGGATCAAAACCTTGCTGATGCCAAGCACACTCCTCAATGAAAGGTATGATTATCCCATTGCCTCCCCCCCTCCCAAAAAATTATACATTTTTATATGTGTGCTGGTTTTTATCATATATATTCAATACATGAGAGAAAACGAATGACAAGATATTCTTTGGGGGTAGGGGGGTTGCGGGCAGGTAACTCACAATTAATTGATGCGGCTAGTGTTGTGGGCAGAAGGGTGCTTCTCAAATCATGATTGGGATGTGGAAAAGTCATAACGTGTAACCAAAATGTTTGTACCCCCATAATTTCCTGAAATAAAAAAAAAGAAAGACAAGCTTAGATAGAGTTCTTCTTTTGTCCATTTGCATTTTAAAAAGACTTCCAATAATCACCAAAAATGCTGCTTAAGCATAAATATGATTCATAATTTCATTAAAAAGTTTTTCTGTTTTCTTTTATTTCAGACATCATGAGTCAAATTCAGTTGTTCAACAGTGAAAGCCCGTATGTCTTGCATTATGATTTTATCACTATAATCTACATTATGTCATGTGGTTTTTAAACTGTGTAAGATAGAGAGAGAACGTCAAGAGCTTTAATCACATAATACATGAATTGTGTCTAAAGCATACACAAAAATGAATCTTTTTGAAATTGAAGAAATACCTCAAGGTGCTCTATGAATTAGTAAAGTCATTTTACAATAGGGAACTGATTTAAAGTTTTCATAAATCCTAGTGAAGGAAAACATTTTCAGCTAATCAAATTAGCTGTTTAACTTGCTGCAGCAACTTTAATTGAAACTAAATCAAGTAATTTGCATAAATCACACCATCAAATGTTTTTCTTGAAATCTATTTGGTTGTGATTTGTATAAAGAATAAGTACTCAAAGATATTAACAACAGCCAGGCCTCTGAAACTCATTGTAGTATTACGGAACATTTGTAAATGTGTCATTGCTTAATTAGATTTAATATTTTAATGCTTTGTACAATTTAAAGTTATTCATTGCGGAAAAACTAGGTCTAAATTATATTGCCTTCAGTGATTTTCCGAGGAGGAATTCAGGTTATGAAATGTGTTATTTACCAAATAACTAAGTAGATTTACTCCACTGCATTAAAACACACGCTATGTTGCTTTTAAGACTGTGATCCATGTATTTGTTTATGGGATAAATCTTTTTTCTCCCTTCATCATACATGACCTGCTCTTCAAAAATGTTTGGCTTTTTCTTGGATGATGTGCATGGATATTTTTAAAATATAAAGAAAATAAATGTATATATATAAATTTACAGTTAGGTATTAAATATTATTTACACAAATCTAATTATGATTTCATGTTCTCAGTCACATGAGTTTATTTTGCATTTTGACCATTTTGCTCAGATATTACCCAGGAATGATTTAAATGGTTAAGAGTGAGTCACTCCATGCATACACAGAGGAAGAGTTAATATCGTTGAAATGATCTTTTATTAGATCTCCCTCCCTAAAATCTGCCTTATCCCTTTTATTCTCTTTATTACAAAAAAAATCACACTATTTATATAGTGTATATATACAGTACAAAGAATAAAATGAATGACCACCATGTACCCACTGCCCAGCTTAAGGGAAGATTGTTACTCAGATCTTTGAAGCCATGTGGACTTCCCAAATATATTCCTTTTTCCCATCCTCAGAGGTAGATACTACCATGATTTTTGTTCATGATTTACTGTGTTTCTTTGTGTTTAAGCCATATCCATGGTTGTCTCTGAACAACAAAAGGTTTACTTTTACTTGTTTTTGCAATTTACGTAAACATGGGATTCACTCATTTACTCATTGAACAAGTATCTGTTGAGTACGTATTATGTGCCAAGCCTTATTTTTTCCCAATATTAATACTTATTGCGATAAAATTTTTAAAATTAAACATACTTATTTAAGTTTTAGAATTAAAAATACTTATCACGATAAAATTTTTAGAATTCTAAAAATAAAATTTTTTAGAATTAAAAGAATCTTTGTGAGGAGGTAAATTTACACGAGTGTAAGAATTGACACAAAAGGACAAGAGTGTAACGCAGCAAGAACTCTTAAAAAGTGACATGGTCTTCACAGGTTCTAGGATAAGATGCTTTTCATACCTTTAGTTGCCTCAACGTGTCCACAAGACCAAAACAAACCTTAACGGAAAACTGAGAGGAAATGGCTGAGGAAAAATGAAGATACAGCAGTGAAAAGAACAGACCCAAAGACAAAAATCTCCTAATCACAAGGAGCTTACAAGCCAGTGGCAGACACGATCAATGAGCAAAGGAAATAAGTCAAACACATCTAGCATATTTTAATGACAAGTGTCAGAGAGAAAAGGCGGCAGGGAACAACATTATGAAATAAATAATAAGGGTTCGGTATATTTTGTTAAGGTGTCACTGAAAAAGTGACTTTTGACTAAAGACCTAAAGAAAATGAGTGGATTAGGCATGTAGACAGAGAGAAATGGGAAACAGGAAATTCAAAGTCCCCCCCACTCCCCCAAGTAACCAGAGATGACCAGGAGAGGCACCTGTTTAAAGCAGATGGAGTCAGGCAGGTACAGAGGGCCAGGCTAGAGGATGTGGGGGTCAGGGAGGTGACAGTAGCCAGATCTTATTGGTGCCTGATAAGGACTTCGGCCTTCAGCTGGAAGCCTTGGGAGGAGGAGTCTGAGCAGAGCTGCAGCTCTTCATTGCAACTGGATCGCTCTGCTCATGTGCTAAGAATAGGCTACAGGGACTTCAGCCAAGGCAAGAGCAAGAAGTCCAATTAGGAGGTTACGCAGAAATCCAGACAAGAAATGTTGCCAGTGTACACCAGGAGGGCCGAAGTGCTGTTACTGGGAAGCAGACAAATCGTGGACCTGTTTTGGAAGTGGAGCCAACAGAATTTGCTGACACAGGCAGGGTGTGATAGAAGAGACTCAAGGCCTGGGAAACTTCTAGAAGAAATGGTGTATCTCAGGGCATTTACTACCTGGGATGTGCAGCCTGCAGGAGGAGCTCGTGTTTGTTGCCAGGGGATTCTTTTAATCTTAGTTACAGCTGTGTTATGAATGAGAGAGACGTATGAGTCATCACTGTGAATATGCTAAGTAAAGTAGGTGATTGGAGACTACCACGGAAGATGAAGCACAGGGTTTAAACTAGACAAAAAAAAAATTGGAAATCGTCAGCATATAAATGTTCTTTATTAATTTTATTGCTATACGTACTCGGATCTATGAATCTTTATGTGAATATTTCTTTAGCATTATCTGGTCAATTTTGAAGTAATTTTTATATTATTTTTGACTTTTAAAAATTCTGCAACTTCGATTAGATATGTTTGCTTTTTCTGATTGTATATATTTCATTCCCTAATCTCTTTCAAAATTGCCAATTCGTTGTTTTTGAGCTACATTACATGTGTATTTCTTCAGAGCTGTCTTCAACTTCACTTTCTCTATACCTTTGTTTATCTGAAGTTTACTCCATTCATTGAATTTTTTACTTCGACCATTATATTTTAACTTCTATTAGTTCTTTGTGTTTTTATTTGGTTGGTTTTGATTTTTCTTTAAATCTGTCTGATCACTTTCTCAGTCTTTTCGAGCGTTGCTGCTTTTCTATTATACATTTTATTTTTCTGCCTATTGAACATATTTATTTTATCTTTGGTGTTTGATAATTTTAATATTTTCAGTCTTTGCACAAATGATTCTTCATGCATTTTTCTTGCATCGTTTACTTTTGTTGCATTTTATCAGCTATTATTTTATTAATTTTTATGACTTTCACTGACAGTAACTTCTCTTGTCCTTGGTAATTTTTTTTTTATTTTGATTGCTTGGTTGTTAGAATTTCATTTGTGAGAAACTTTGAGATTATTTTATAATGTACATTTCTTTTTAACTTATTTACAGATGATTCTTACAGTCATATTGGGACATTGCTAACTTAGATAACTTTAAATTAAAAATCTGGTTCAATCTTTTGCACTGTACTTCGAAACCCATTAAAGTAATGGCTCTTGGTTATTAATTAGGGATTTTATTTTCTTTTACTTATCCATTTGGAATGAGAACCTGGATTACACAGGGGTGGTATTCTGGTTTGATGTAAGAGTTTCTGATCTGTTCTCTCACTCTGGCTCAGGGCCAAGTCCAGTCTTTCGTTTTTCCTGCACATGATATATTAAAATTCATTCCCATTGCACATGCTTCATTTTCACTTACTTTCTGTAAGTATGTCTTAACATTTCTCTCCCCAAGGAATTCCTGTATTTTTGCCTTATGAGCTCAGTCATATGTTAAAAATACGATTATTAATTACTTAATATTTCTAGCAATGCTGTACACTGAATGGTTTCTGTATGATACAACATTACGTTCAACTGGAAATTGAATTCAATGGTCTTCTTTACAATCCAAATTGCAACTCATAGGTTCATTTTTGTTAAATGGGTTTGTACAACTGTTTCTTTGTTCAGCAGTTTGTGGATTCTCTTCTTTGGCTAATGTGGAAGTGTCTTCATGATGTAGACTCTTCATTTGTTCCAATTTCATAATGCTTTCTTGCATATAAAAATCAGCCACACCTTTCCCCAAATATATCATATACACTTTTATTTTATGATTTTGTTTGTCTTTCTCCCTTTCTTTGATATCTGCCTTCTCTTTTGTCACCAGGATTTCTAAAACAAGTTTCTAATACTCATTTTGGCTTTTAATTTTCCCCTGATAAAAAACGTTCTCCAAGCTGTGTCCCACAAGATATTTTTGAATTGCAAAACATTTTGTAGTTTAGAATTTTTTGATACAGTCTTGCTATTTCAGTCAAGGATGGATTACATATGCAACACTGGTCCCATAAGATTATAATTCCTTATTTTTACTGTACCTTTTCTATGTTTAAATATGTTTAGACATACAAATATTTACCATTGTGTTAAAATTGCCTGTAGTATTCAGTACTAACATGCCGTACAGGTTTATTGCCTAGGAACAATAGGCTATTGCATATAGCCTAGGTGTGTAGTAGGCTATACCGTCTAGATTTGTGTAAGAAACACTCTATAATGTTCTCCACACATCAACAAAATCACATAAAATGCATTTCTCAGGACATATGCCTGTCGTTAAGGAATGCATGGCTGAATTTTCCCATATTGTCCTTCTGACAATATGCAAAGTTTTTACAAGTTAACATGTACAGATAACATTGTGAAAATGGGTTTATTGTCATCTAAAATTGGATTTTCAAAACAAACTTGGCTTTTTCTTGGATGATATGCGTGGATATTTTTTAAAATATACGTAGAAAATAAAAATGTATATGTAAGTTTACATTTAGGTATTAAATATAGTTTACACAAACCTGATTATAATTTCATTTTCTAAGTCACATGAGTGTATTTTGCATTTTGACCGTCTTTGCCCAGACCTTACCCAGCAATGACTTAAATTTTAGGAACTCCAGGCTTTCTAAATCTAAATGACCAGGGTTAAAATCCTAGCTCTGGTGATTTTTACACACCTTGAGAACTTATTTTAAATTTCTCTAAACCTCATTTTCTCCAACTGTATAATGGAGATAATATCTATTTATTATTTATCTATTATCTCTATTATCTATCATCTATCTGTATCATTATCAATTGTCAGCTATCCATCCATCTTCTATCTATTTCTAATGTATTTATAGTTGAAAATAAGTAACATAATATTGATCATACTGAATAAGTAACATACATTGATCATACTGAATTTCTCACAATTCTTCAACTGATCTATGCTCTCTCCTTATTTTCTGGCCTTTTGTTTATAAACTTAATTCTTTTTAGAGCACTTTCTGTTCAATTCCTTCTCTGGGATTACTTTTACTCATGAATGTACTTCCAATGTAGATGCTCTTTCCTCTGGAAAAACTCTGCATGTCTCCCAAATCCTGGGTTGCATGACTACTTTATCTTGTTCTTTTAGCAACCTATGCTTTTCTCTTATCATGACACTTACCTGACTGTGCTGCAGAGGTCTGCTACAGTTTTTCAAACATCTATCCCCATAAACTCTGAGTTTCTGAAGGATGAGAAACATGCAAATGCATCATTGTATAATACTTTCAGTATTTGACAGAGTATGTGCCCAATAAACGGTGAATTAATGAATGGACGACCCAATGAATTTTGACATTATTTGATGAGGCAATGTTTAGATCTTATCCTCCCTAAAGCTTTTATTTCTCTGTAGCATAGATGTTCTCAACCCCACTATTAGCGTTTACCGCTCTATAATTTGCGTTGGTATGTATCTTTAATATAAGCGTGTGTTTCCTTCACTCGTTAGTAAGATTCTTGAGGCAAGGCTTGTACTTTGCTGCACTGCCTTGGCAAGATACTATCAACATTTGGCTTTTCAGATGATAGCCCCTACAAGTTGGGGCTACCAATAGGGTCTGAACGTTTGTAACTGTCTCATTTTTCTTTTGCCCTTTCCTTTGCCCTATGTTCTCCTGGCTAGCGTAAAGCATATTCCTCTGATATTTAAGCTAAGCGTGTCCTATGCTTCAATGTTATTCTTCCTTTCTTAGTTGAATGTCAATGTAAGAATCTACTCTGTTAGCAAAGCATTACCATATAATGTATTATATCAATTCTTCGATAAAATATTAATTGAATAACACGTATTCACTCCAAGGTATAACAGGCTTAGTTCTTTTGAACCTCCTTAAGTGTTTCTTTATTTAGCAAATAGCACAAACCTTTCCCTTGTGAATCAGTTTTTATTTTGTGTGCTATAGGTACGAAACCAAGTCACATAATTCTCCGGATTTAAACAATTCTTGAGGGTGAGGGAAAAACCATTTGTTAAATAATAAATATAATGCAATTAGTTATCTTATATCACAGCATAGAGCTTAAATTGAGAAGATTAATAATGCAAGCAACTTCCTAGTCTGAAGTATGCATAGCAGGATCTTAGGGAAGGGTGAGGCACCTTCTACATTACCCTTTCAACTGGAACCTTGCTATTTTCTCTCCCGTGTCTTCTGCAGACCTGCAAACACAAGAAAGAACAAGGCTCTGCAACTGTTTGCATACTATTGAAATGCTGCTGAGTCCTACTGCAGTCCTTGGACAGGCCATTAAAAATAAATGGACCATGCTCTCAATCTCCAGTTAGCAAAGCCTATATTAACCTATATTATTTTAAAGCCATATATTGATAGAACACATGTCCATTGCCTTACTTAATACTGAATTTTAATATGCTCTTTTCATTCCTAATAATACAGGTCAGTAGTTTCAAGACCTCCCTCAAAGACTTCTCTGATGAAGACTGTGAAGGTGAGCAAAGCAACCTACTAGATTTCCTCATAAGTGCCCCATAGAAACACATCAGAGAAGAATCTGATATATTCTTATGGGCTCCTAGGAAGTTTTTCAAATGAAATAAAAACTAAATTAATAGTGAAATTATAGGCAGCAAGTTTCCCTCTTTAGCTTCATGACATAGAGAGGTATAAAATTTCTGCAGTGCATCCTGTTAATAAACACAAAATGTATCATTTATTCATGATCTAGTTCTCTTCCTACTCTGCTCCTACTCTGCCTACACCGATGCTTTCGGCAGGTCACAGTGGTGTTCACTCTCAGCTTTCCTTTCTGTCAATATGAGTTTTGCATTACATTCTGACCTGTGAGCTGATTTACAGAATCAAATCCTATGAATCACTCGTGTCCAGGAGTGGCAAAGAATAGATCACGCGATTCCACATTCAGGTTGATGCTATAGAATTTGCATTTAAAATAAAGAATGAAAAATAGTCTCAGACTATGGGAAGTAGTACACTGGGAAATTTTCTGGCTTTAAATAATGTACATTGGATTTTATTATTCAATATAGACACCTCCCCTTAGGTTTCAGGCAAAGAAACAGATGCCATGCCTTCTGTAAATCACAAGAAAATTTTCCATGCAAGATGATTGACCGGAGGCCTGAAGGCAGTTTTATGACTGGGAAATATAATAGCCCACGTACTCTAAAGAGTATTTGCATAAATTATAGAAAGAAATCCTGATTCATGCGTGCCTCTGGGTAACAAATCCATGACAAATGAGTAATTTAATTTTCTAAAAAGCAATATTCAAATAACATCCTTGTCAGTCATTGATAGGGGGATCATTATTCATAATTTATAATAATACATACTCTCTTCCTTGTAGATTATCATTTAGAAAAGTACTCCATTCTACAGTCTTCGATTGCAGTCCCGAGAAGTGATAAAAATATCTCACAACATTTGTAATGAAAAGTCTATACAAGCAAAATATAACAGCTTGAACTAGTGACATCAGAGAAAATTAAACTGCTTCTCTAGATACCTTTTCAAGGTTGTAAAGATGCAGGTTGTGAAATGAAAGCACTGTAGGCTTGCTTCAGATTGCATATGCTAATTTCGTTTTTTATCTCTCAGTGTTCCAGGAAAAATAACCATTGCTATATTTGCCACCTGGATCCAGCGAATCCATTTTATTTTTTAAATTTTACCCTTTTAATATTTTAGTCACTATTCAACTAATTTATAGAAATAAAAATAGTAACAGTGAAAGTTTTTATTAAAATTTTTATTTAACTTTTCTTATTTTAAGATAATTGTAGGTTCATATGAGGTTGTAAGAAATAATAGATTCTGTGGACCCTTAACTCATTTTCCCCAATGAAAACATGGTGTGAAAATATAATAAAATATTACAAACAGGATATTGACATTGAGACAGTCAAGATACCTATCTTTTCTACCACCACAAACATCCCTCATGTTGCCACTGTATGGCCACATCCACTTCCCTACAGTCCACTTAAACCCTACCAGCCACTAATCTGTTCTCTATTTCTACAATTTTATCATTTCAGCAAAGTTATATCAATGGATTCATAGAATATGCAACTTTTTGATATTAGCTTTTTACACTCAGCATAATTTTTTTAGAGATTGATCCAGGCTGTGTGTGCATATCAATAGTTTGTTCCTCTTTATTTCTTAGTAGTATTCCATGGTTTGGAGATGCCATAGTTTGTTTAGCCATTTAGTTTTTGGAGGTTGAAGGACATCTGGGTTGTTTCTAATTTGGAACTATTCTGAATAAAACTGATCTAAACATTTGTGTACATTCCCCCCCCCCTTTTAACATAAATTGCCTTTCTCTGGAATAAAAGCCCAGAGGAATACAATTAATAGTTTCTATGAAAATTGCATGTTTTGAGATCTTAGTTATAAATTCTTTGCCTAGGTTGAAGTCCAAAAGAGCTTTGCCTATCTTTTCATCTAGATTTTTTATCATTTCAAGGCTTAGATTTAAGTCTTTTCTCCATCTTGAATTAATTTGTGTAGGGGTCCTGTGTCATTCTTCTGCACGTGGCTATCCAGTTTTCCCAGCACCATAATCGAATCGACTTCCCTTTCCCAGTGTATGTTGTTGTCTGCTTTGTTGAATATTATTTGGTTGTACATAGATGGTTTTATTTCTGGGTTCTCTATTATGTTCCCTTGGTCTTTGTCTTTATTTTTATACCAGTACCATGCTATTTTGGTTCCTAGGGCTTTGTAGTATAGTTTGAAATCCGGTAATGTGATACCTCCAGATTTGGTTTTTTGTTTTGTTTTGTTTTGTTTTTGCATGAAATTGCCTTGGCTATTTGGGCTCTTCTTTAGTTCCAAATGAAATATAAAACCCAAAGGCAAATACACTGACAACAAAAATAAGTAAATGGGACTTGATTAAATTGAAAAACTTCTGCAGACCAAAAGAAATAATCAACAGAGCAAATAGACAACTTACAGAATGGAAGTTTGTGAAATTATTCACAAACTATACATCCAATAAAGGGCTAATATCCAGAATTTAAGACGAACTCAAACAAATCATCAAGAAAAAAACAAACAGCCCCATCAAAAAGTGGGCAAAAGACAAGAACAGAAGTCTTACAAAAGAAGATAGGTAAACGGCCAAGAAACAAATGAAGAACCACTCAAGGTCGCTAATCATCAGGGAAATGCAAATTAAAACCATAATGAGATATCACCTTCCACTGTAAAAATGGCCATTGTTAAAAAGTCAAAAAAACAATGAACACTGGCATGGATGCAGAGAGAAAAGAACACATATACACTGTTGGTAGGTCTGAAAATTATTTAATAGTCCAACCTCTGTAGAAAACTGTATGGATATTCCTCAAAGAAATAAATATACATTTACCATTTGACCCAGCAATCCCACTACTTGGTATCTACTCAAAGGAAAATAAGTCATTTTATCAGTAAAACAACTGTACTTGAATGTTTATTGCAGCAAAATTCACAATCACAAAGATGTGGAATCAAGCGAAGTGACCATCAATTCAGAGTGAATTAACAAAATGTGAGAGATATATATATATATATCCCATATATATATATATCAATCACATATATAATGTATATCCCATATTTAATATATATGGCATATATAATTTAGATCATATATAATATATAGATCACATATAATATATAACATGTAATCACATATATAATGTACATCACATATATTGCATATATAACATATATATTATATATATTATATATCACATATATATTAATACCATGGAGTACTATTCAGCCATAAAAAGGAATGTAATAATGTCTTTTACAGGAACTTAGATGGAACTGAAGAACATTATCGTATGTGAAGGATCTCAGGAATGGGAAAACGAACACCACATCTACTCTGTAATAATTGGGAACTAATTGATGGGCACAGAGAGATGTAAAGGTCATTGGAAATCCAAAAGGGTGGAGAGGGATGGGAATAAAAACCTACCTATCAGGTACAATGAACACTATTTGGGTGATGGGCACAATAATAGTCCTGATTTAGGCATTATAAAAGCTATCCATGCAACAAAAACATTTGCACCCCCTTAATATTTTTAAATGCAAAATACCCTCAAAAACATGTTTTGTATTTTTAAGAAACTTCCAAAATATTTTAGATAGCAGCTGTATCACTTTACATTATTACCAGTAATATATAAATGATTTAGTTTTCCAGGGTCCACACAAACATTTTTGTTGTCATCATTTTATTTTAGCTGTTCTACTTATTTCAGTGATGAAATGCCTTGTAATCAGGGATTAGATTTTTTTTCTTTTTACTTTCAAAGTCATTCTGCCTGGCTTAATTTAAAACAACAATCATGCCTCTATCCTCATTAATATCTGATTTAAATAAAATGATTTGGCTCACTAAACTTTTGGATCATATCTGTATTTCTAGCACATTGGGCAGTTTTACTTTGCAGTAAAACGTTTCAATATATTTACTTTTCTTTACATTTTGTAGCGACTGTCAAAACTTGCATATTTTAGATCTCAAAGCAATTCTAAGAAATTATCTGCCTCAGTCCCACCTCCAGGAAAAAGGAAATATCCATTCAGTGATCAAAAATAAAAATTATTACTGCAAAATTTTAGTGATATTAATACTTCTTTATTCTCTTTTGTAACCACATGTCCAGAACTGTGAATGCTGTGTTGCTAGCATTGTGCTATCTGTAGAATTATCTCATGGGCATGGCTTCCTCAGGCCACAGCAGGGAGATTGCAGATGGGAAAGAACCTGATTGCAAACCCTGATAGTATTTTCTCTGAAGCAGAAAATAGGTTCTGTGCCTACTAACCGACTCATTGTGACTAAAAAGAAGACGCTGCAAAGGTGCAGGAAGAATGAACCTCTTGTCTGTGTAGCTATCTCTAGCTTAACGCCATTCTTTGTGGATGATGATTTGTTTTCCTTTGTGGTCATTGTGTCCCAGAGCTTTAAGGAAGTGGGGAAGTGGATAACTTTTTTCTTTTTTGTACATAACTTTCTTTTTGTTCTTGATTCAGAACATTCAACACCATCGACTTTGGCAGGCTGGTAAATATTTCTCGGTATAAGGGATTTTTAAAAAATTTATTCCTGTGGTATAAATGCTACAGAGATAGGGCTCAACAATCATACCTTGTACATATAGTA